TTCCTCCTGCCGAGCTCCCCGCTTTTTAATAAAATCCAGGTAGCGCCGGTTTAAAGAATCCCAAATCTCCATATACAGCGCGGGATTGGAAAAGGTACATTACACAACCCCCCTTTCAAGTTCCTCTCGCTGGATACTAAAAAAAAAAAAAAACCAGCGTGGGGGGGAAGGGGGCGGCTGGGGGAGGGGAGCACTCTCCGGCGAAGAAACACGCATTGTTCCCGGGTGCCCGCCTCCCCCCAGGCCGGCCCTCGGCCGCCACCCATTGGCCGAGCGCGCCGCCAATCAAGTGCATGTAAACACCTTGGCCCTCAGCCATTCCTATAAAACCAATTACGGACCAAGGGGCTCCAACAGTTTCCAGGCTCCCCTCCGCGGGGCTGAATGATCAAAACTGGTGGTGAGAATTTTTCCCGGCCGTTTCTAGGCAGCCCTCCCCCTCCACCAGTTCGGACCCCCCCTTCCTCCTCCTCCCTTTTTCCTTCCCCCACCCCCCAGCGTCTGGGCTGAGTGATCAAAATAGAGGAAGATGGTTGTCGCCGCAATCCAGGGCTTTGCAAGGCGCGGTTTAATGGGCCGCCTGTCAGCTTCCTGCTCGCAGGAGGAGGTGACAAGCCGAGCGAGCCGGGAAGGGCTTGGGGCCTGGCGGGCTGCACCCCGTGCCCGGGCCCCAGGTCCCCCACCTCCCCTGGGGCGCGCCTTCTAGAACGCGCGGTGGAGACGCCAAAACAGACAAGGGCTGCTTTTTCCCTCCTCCCCACCCCCCCCCCGCCTTAAAACAAAGCAGCGATTCATTCCCTCTCCCCCAGCAGCGCGGTTGGGTGGGACGGGCAGGCGAGAAGGCCGTTTTCCTAGCCCCGGTCTGCGGGTTCCTCCCTGAAACGCGGTGTCAGATGGTTACTGATTAATATTTTGGAGAGGCCTCGGCGGCGGGCAGCGGGTGAGTCTCTAATCTTCTAAAAGGGGTTCCTATAGAAACGCGGGCCAGGGCGCGCCCCCCACCCCGCCCGCCCCGGCCGGGGCTGCGGCGCTTTGCACTCCGCGCCCCTCCCCCAAACGGCTCTCTTCGCGTGGGCGGCTCCCCTCCCTTTCTCTCCCCCCAAAAAAACTACAGAGCAGGAAAAAGGGAATTAGATCGGCTGA